CACTTAGAAAATGGAGAGCATGTATATTTCACCGAAAGAAATTTCCAAGAAAGAATTGCATCACCGCCAAAAACTACACTAACAGCCTTCTTTCAACTTTGTCAAACCGACCCCTTTGCAAAAACGTTGTTATATTCTGAAATCCCCCCGCTATTATACTTGGAACACGTCTAGGAAGGAGTGGAAACGCCGTATTCAAGGCGAGCCTGTTGCAAATTGACCCGGTGTAAAGTCATCAGATGCCCTTGGTCGTGTGTATACCGTCCATGTAACTAATTTTGAATGTTTCTGTTTACCATTGTTGCAGAACCATATTGCACCATGGGTCCCACAGGATATAAAGACCTTAAAACTATCAACTGTTAGGAATGCGCAACTTATAGAGAAGCATGTGAAGCTCTGCATCTTTTAGAAAACGATAATCACTTGGATTAAACCATGGAGGAAGCTGTGCAGTGCCAGTCACCAGCCAAAATTAGGGATCTTTATGCAACTCTCATATCATCTTGCGGGCTATCTAATGCACATGAATTGTGGGACAAATATAAAGAGTACATGGCGAAAGATATTTTGCGAAGGTTACAGCAGACACACGCGAAAATGACATACAATGAACACATTAGTAGGCAAAAAATTAAGCGGCTTTGGAATGATAATCCCTCAGAGACAACCGATAATGAAAAAAGTGATGAAATTATACGTGAAACAAACTACGATATACCAGCTTTGCAGCAGCAAGTAGCCGAATTTTTACCCCGCTTGCTTCCGCAGCCAAAACGAGTTTTTGACAAAGTTTTAGGACAAATTGAATCTGGAAATGGTGCACTTTTCTTTTTAGATGCCCCTGGAGGAACTGGGAAGGCATTCCTTGTTAAATTTATTATTAGCGCAAGTACGGAAAGATAAAAACATTGCTGTGGCCATAGCTTCCTCCGGTATAGCCGCCACGCTGCTAAGCGGGGGCCGCACTGCACATTCTGTTTTAAAACTCCATCTAAATCTAGCCCAGGAAGAATTGCCGATCTGCAACTTTATCAAAAATAGTGCACGAGGTATAATGCTATGACAATGCCAACTTTTAGTGTGGGACGAAAGTACAATGTCGCATAAAAGCTGTAGAAGCACTAAATCGGACGCTCCAGGATTTGGGCAGCATTACCGATGTAATGGGAGGACTGGTGGTTTTACTGGCTGGTGACTTTCGCCAAACTTAACCTGTCATTCAAAAGGGCACACCTGAGATGAAATTAAATCCTGTCTCAAGTCGTCTATTTTATGGAACAAGGTGACAAAATTCAGTTTAACTACGAATATGAGAGTGCATTTGTATAATGATATCAATACTAAAAACTATGCTGACACACTATTAAAAATTGGCGATGGGCGGTCGGAAACGGATGTTGAGGGCTGCGTTAAATTGACGAGAGATTTATGTTATTTAGTAGAGAGTCATTCCGAATGAATTGCGAGCGTTTATTCAGATTTAACGAACAACATGCATGAAGAAAAATGGTTATGTGAAAGGGCGATTCTTGCACCAAAAAATGAGAGCGTTAACAAAATAAATTCAGATATATTAAGCGAAGTAGCAGGAGAAATAACAGAGTATTTGTCAGTAGACACAGTTATGGACACAGAACAGAGCACTTCATATCTCGTAGAGTTTCTAAATTCACTAGAGTTGTCGGGTGTGCCCTCGCTTATGTGAGGGAATGGAAAAACATATAACATTGTGTACAGTAACCTCTTAAAATAGTGTTCAGTAGTAGTTCTTTTTCCAAAATTCTCACAATCAATTAATCAGAATTCCCACATATCTTCCCTTTCAATTCAAAATGTCCTATTTAGCTCGGTTTCTTTTCAATTCCAAATGCTGCAACTCTGACGGACCTATTAAGCTCAGTTTGCTTTCAACTCAAAAGGCTGCATCTCTGACGGCTCTTTTATTTGGCTCAGTTTCCTTTCAATTCAGAAAACTGCATCTCTGACGAATCAATTTAGCTCAGTTTCTTTTCAAAAGACTGCATCCCGGATGGATAATTATGCTCAGTTTCCTTTAATTAAAAAAATATCCCATTTCCATTTGGAATAAACAGGCTAATTTCATGCTTTCCTATACGCTGCGTTTCAAAACATTTAAATAGGCTGACGAATTAATTTTGCTCAGTTTCCTTTTAATGGCTGCATCTCTGAGTTACAAATCTATAAAACTCAGTTTTCTATCTCTCTCTCTCTCTCTCTCTCTCTCTCTCTATATATATATATATATATATATATCTATTCTCTCACTGGTCTTATTGGATTTGTCTCCCATCGGACTATCAGAGTGAAAGAATACGCGCAAACATCCATGGACTAGAATAAAGTTCTGCGCAGATGGTTAGTCTTCATTGAGACAGCCTGCCGTGACTGAAATGTGGTATGGCGGACATTATCATTATTATTATATTAGATATATATCTTACGTTTTCTTAATTATATGATATTACATCACAAATCATATAGTTAAAAATAGTTCATAATTAAAGAAATATTTCAAGTTCATAGTACATTCAAAATTGTCTAAAAATTGAACTTTAATAAATTTATATTCGACTTCTAAAATTAAAACGAATGATAGAAGTTAGCTTTTACATTTTATTAAAAGTTAAGTTTTAGCTAATAAAATATGCGATAACAATTTAAAACCAAATTGTCATACAAGGTTTTAAAAGAGGTATAGAAATTTCCGGTAAAATATCTCGAAGAGATTCATAAAAAATTTTCTCCAAAACTTAATATATTTGAAACACTGTATTAATAGATGACATATTTTATTGAATTTTCGTAAAGAGGCAAGATGAATTAAAATAATGTTATACTGTTTTATTTAGTTTATTACCGTGTTTAATAGTTTAGTAGTTTAATTTACCGTTTTCATTTGAATTTAAAGGGTTCAATACTTCCAACTTTAAATTTCAGTATTATTCACATTTTAATGTCTTTATATTTATAAAAACCATATAGAGGCTACCGTTGTACTTAGGTCCACCATAGTCTTAGAATATATATTGGAGTAGGTCTTCTTAATAGGTTGCCGTAGGGTTGGACCTCAAAAATACCTAAGGCAAACATGTGTGCCTCTCCCGAGCCAACGGGAGACATATATCGGGTACAAATGTGTTCCTCTTCCGAGCTTAGGTGAAGAGGGATATTTGTCAGAGTTGCCACTCTAGACAAGTAACATGGCAACCGCAGTGTTAAAGATTTTAAAAATAAATTAGCTAAGATCAACGTTTTTATAAAGTAAATTTATGGGTCCTGCCCAGTTTGAAGAGCACTATTGATAGAAAAAAAAATATAACACGTAAGATAATCTCGTCCCGTTTCGTTATGTGGATATAGAATTTAGGGGAAAATCTAGAATAATAGGCTGCACTAAAAGTATCGGGAATGGAATATTTCCACTGATCCTGTCATATTAAAATCTTTTTAATTGAAAACTCCTTGGTTTTAAAAATCGAATACCATTTATTTATTAAAAAAAGATTCTCAGTCTTGTCACAAGTTTTTGTCAAACTTGTTTACATAAACATAACATAAACACTCACGCCTGTCACCCAGAGGGGTAGGCAGAGACTACAGACTTCCATTTGGCACGATCCTGATATACCTCTCTTGCCTCCTTCACATCCATACACCTACGCATACATGCTCGTCGGTTAAGGGTTTGGTTTCTTTGGAATCGGTTTCACAGAGGCTACTTTCCATTTTTCGGGAAAAACGCTCGTTCTAACAGTTTCGTTAACCAATCTCGTAATTAATTGCAGAGTTTTTGGTAGAGTAAGCAATACCATATTTAAAGTAATGCCATCATCACCCCGTGCATTTGTTTTAAATTATTTTATTACGTTTAATACCATTGTTTCGTCAACTGTCTTTAATTTGAAAGTATTAATTCCAAATCTATCAATTTCAATGCGAGTTAAGACTGGCAATCTAATAGGGTTTTCACTGATTTCGGGAAGCTTAAGAAAGTATGTATTAATATATTCAGGATAACATAAATGGGATGCCATATTACAGTCCTCTTTCTTAAAGTTGGCAACACTTTGTTTGATATTTTTCCATAAGAATTTTGGCTTGTTAGTAAAATTGATATATTTATTGAAATATGCTATTGTTTCGCTACGTTTGCCGAATTTACAACGTTTTTCAGATTTCCTCTAGATCTGATTTCAGTGTCATAGCAATTGTTATTAAGCCACGTTTCTGTGAATATATAAACATCGTATTAATTATTAATAATATGTTGACGGCTTAAAAACAAATGCGGTTGAGGTAACCGCATTTGTGTTTAAGCCTCTTACATTTTGATAATATATGTTCAAATGATCTAACAACATACAGGTTACATAAACAAAATAAGTTATATAAACGATAAAACACCTTTATACACTAAGTTTGCTATGACAACTATTTTATTTCAGACAGTTCTTGGATGGTCTTATGATTGGAGGAGGAGTACCAAAGAATGGATTAATTTGTACTCGGACGTTTCCGTCTTGCGCATAAATATTCTTCCTCCCTAGACCTAGACAAATTTGTAGTTGAGTTATTTTGCCTTAGATCTCGCTGCTGCATGTATTTCCTTTTAGGTTGGTGACAGATGCTCCACGACAAAGACTGGCTGCTTCTCACCGCCAATGCCAAGATGACTACTATTAAGCTTTTCACTTTGACTCTTAGCTGTTTTGTTAAATCTATGTGTAGCAGCTAAAAAGTAATCCCGTATTCTTGGGGAACCAAATTTTATTACAACGGATCTAGGGTGTCGGCTATCTTTATTTACTTTAGCTACTCTCGTGCACAGATGAATATCTGATTCTTCCAACTTGCAGTTAACTGTGTTGGCAACTTGCTTAACTATTGTGATTAAGTTTTCCGATTTATGTTCAGGAATATTTTGTATTTCAATATTGCTGACCCTAGAGTGCAGTTCAAGTCGTGTAAGTCTGTAGTTAAGCTTGAGTACGTCGTAGTGTTGTATTTTCAGATTCTAATACATTAATTTTCTTACAATTGGATTGTACTTCGTTTTGAATATATTTCAGTTGACTTTCGACTTTGGACATAGACTCAGATATTTGGTTGAATTTATCAAGAACTTCCTTTGTTTTTACTTCTAACTGTTTCATTATCTTGGTTTTGAAACTGTCGAAAATACTTTTTAACTCTTCTTTAACAATTTTCCGTAAATTTTCGGCGGATACTTCCAACTTTTGTACTGTACCCTGTATTCTTAAGTTTATATTTGTTGGGAATTCCTCACTATCCGATTCAGGTTGACTTGTAGTTGCTTTAATTGGCTTGTCAGTGTTGTCAAATTTTGGTAGCTTACTACAGCAACATGAACAAGTCCATTTAGATTTTAATTCCTCTGATAACTCTTTTAATGATTTTTTATGTTGTCACAGATAAGATAATATTTGATTTTACAGGAGTAACAGCTTAATGTATTAGGTGATGATGTCTGTCTTTCGCAACATCCAAATTTCTCCCTTGCTTGTGGCATAATTACTAAAATTAGCTAATAGTAGTATACTTTGTTTTTATTATCGTATAGAACTCAACGCAGCACAAAAGCAAGTGAACTTACTCATTTGAACGCAGCACAAAGCAATATGAAATTCGATGTTATGAGTCAGACGCAGCAACGGGCCGCAGTAACTCGAAGCAATGTACACAGTGAAACGTTATTTTACTTAATTTCGAAAATAATATACCGATAACGTCGAATTGTTTTAAGGGTAGAAGTAAATCATTTATACTATAAGTTAGGTCACTTAGTTAACTATATGTTTATGTAAAAATTTGAGCGTATTAACAAAACTTTACTACAGTATTATTTATTACTTCACGGAGCAAATAAAATATGTCAATATTGCTTAACTACCCGAACGGAACGTAGTTATTTATACAGACTAGTAAAAGAGAGTACATAATACAATTGAAAAAGTGCAGTGGACTTAATTGTTTAGAAATGACACCAGCAGATATGTGACAGCAGATATATGAAATCCTGTTTCTATCTTACTATACTAATTTTACGCAAAAATGTCTATACAATATTTCATAAATGTACTGAAAATCAATATATATCGTTGTAATTAGTGACATATTGTTTACCTTAATAGCCTGTTCTCTTTCACTTTATTCTGGTTCCGCTCTACTTTCAATTTTTAAATAAAATATGAGGCCAACTGTGTCACACTATACAACAAGGTGTGTTAAGAAAAGTGCAGCCATAACTCATATTATAATCCAAGGATAAACTTGGCAGTATTGTTGTAAAAAGCTAAGTTGAAACTTGCTCACGAGCCGCCTCTACCATATTTATTTTCATACCACACTTTTTTGTGGAGTTTGCTCTTTGAGATTTATAACCTTCACACAATATTTTTTGTTCTCATACTTATTTTATCTTATACAATATAATACGTAAAACAAAAATTTTTTTATAAATATATATGGTCGTAGATATATTTAATGTATTTTATTTGTTTACTAAGCTACATTTAGCTCGTTAGGACTTTAAGGAAGTTTAGCATTACACTTTGACACAACATGAACCTAGCACAAACTAAATTAACATTGCAGTTAATGAGATCTATGTGCCGTAAATTGTAACATTTATGTTTCACTTAATTAGATTTTATTTGTATTTATGTTTTATTATATATAATTTTATTATATATTTATTATATATAATTTACTATATATAATTAAATTAATTAGGAAGTATTTGTAACGTCTGCTGAATACGTCGTATATTATATACGACGTATTCAGTATTTTTTCGTATATATATATTGCAATGCTATACCTCTTTAAAAAAAACTGTGAATGTGAAAGCACGTGTGTATGTGTGTGTGTGTGTACGTGCGTGTGCGTGCGTGTGCGTGCGTGTGTGTGCATGTGTGTGTGTGTGTGTGTGTGTTTGTGTGCGCGTGTGTGTGCGTGTGTGTGCGTGTGTGCGCGTGTGCTTGTGTGCGTGTGTGTGCGTGCGTGTGCGTGTGCCTGTGTGTGCGTGCGTGTGCGTGCGTGTGAGTGCGTGTGCGTGCGTGTGCGTGCGCGTGCGTGCGCGAATCTAGAGTGCTTCCTGATTAAATTATGTGTAGTAAAGTAATATCTCTTTTTTAATCTGGTGGAACGTTAGACCTTTTTTGCATATTTTGGCACTTATATTCTTTATTTTTATCCATTTTTATAGAATAAGGGTGGCAGACAAGCACACAGTTCACCTGATGGTAAGTGGATGCTGTGGTTCATAAACATCTACATCTATCCTCAATTAATAATCAAACTGCAGATGCGTTGCCAATCTTGAGGACTAAGATAAAATGCCTCGTTTCCAGTGAAAAAGATCTCCGGTTCTCTACACTCGCCATACGAAGCACAGCAGCATTGAGCTGCTATTTGACGCTAATATTCTGTGAGAGCGTGGTACTTCATCGATCAAGCCGGCCCATTCATGCAACAACCATAATAGCTGCAGTATAGCTCTACCACGTTGCTGGGACAAAAGTTGCGATATCGAGCTCCATTCCAGGAGCTCATGGACCGTCTGTGCAAAACACTAATTTTGGGGTTCCTTGATACGGCAAGAAATTTACAGTTAGTTGTGATTAGTTTAATTATTCTTTTTTTATTTGTAGTTAGTTTAATTATTCTGTGAGAGTTTGGTCCTTCCTCGGTCAAGTCAACCCCTTTGTGCTGCAACGATTATATAACTGCAGCATGGCTCTATTACGTAGAGATTAATGATTCCATTGAAAATGTTTGTTTGCATTATTTTCTCTTTCATATTAGGTAAGTATCATTCTTTCTCATTGTGATGATATAATGCTGGCCTTGCACAAATTGTCAAACCCCTTATCGATCCTTTCAACATACGACATTGGACTCTTTTATTTCCACACATAGTTAACACCTATCGGCTTCCTTTTAGTGCTCTATACTTTTAGCCAGCTTTCTGGCAGTAGCAAGATTTTACGCTCACAAAACTTCTAAGCTTTGCTGGAAAAACATTGATCCAAGTAATTTTTGATAATTAAAAAAATTCAAATTCCTAAATTGAAGAAAATTTTTTCCATCTAAAAAAATTGTAGAAGCTGAAACATTGTTATACCAGATTTTTTAGCCCACAGTGATGACGGATCATTTTTTTGAAGTTTGCGAACCAAAGCACAGACGTCGTTTCGACAAAGCCAATTTCCTTCTGTATGAATGCTGTAAGAACGCTGTAAGAAAGTCACTGTTTAAACGTGTACCTAGTCAAGTTGCGGGAGCTGCCGAGAACTTTTTAAAAACTAATTTAAAACTAATTAAAACTACGTGTTCACTGAGTGAGATGTGAATTTATTCTAACCATTGTCTTTTTACAATTCTTAATCTTAAGCTTACAGTCTACTTAAATTACTACATACTCAGCGTTTATGTATTTATGCTGATGGACGCTTTATACGTATTATGGGTGGTGCTGGTGTAACCATAACTCCTCCCTCCTCAACTGCAAAGTTATCGGCAAGATTTGGATTCCGATGACTTTGCATACAATGTAAGAGCTTAGATTTATTTTTCCAAATTACAGTAAGAAGGATAATTAAAACTAATATAACATGGAGTAGTACAGTAGCTAAACTAACACTTTTCTTATTCACTAAGATTTCACTTTCACTTTCCACTATTTCATTTTTCAGTTTGTACGAGAGATATTTTAGTTCATCCAAATTAACGCGATTTAAATTCACTGTTTTCTCCGCATTTGTGGGCTGCTCTATCAATTTCGGTAAAGTTAAAATAGGTGTCACCTTATATTGCAGTTTTCCTGAATAGTATCTTTTCCGGTGTAATTTAATATTGCCTAATTTTATCTCACAGTTTTCATCTATTTCCAAGAGGTAAGTGCCCTTTACAGCATTTCTTTGAGTGTCATCGCCACACGTTTTTGTAAGCACTATTTCATTTTGTGTAAATAGGATCCAGTTAATAGGACCAATAGACTGTATCTTAACACTTTCCAGCTCTACTATTGATAGTTTACAAAGGCTTAGATTTGATGCGAAGTTCATAAGTTGATCTATGCATGTGTTTTCAGGATACTGCACGATATTATTTTCCTCACACAGGAACTGGTTTGCTGCTATCTCCTGACATGGGCCATTTAAGGGTAAGTACGTGTGATCTTTCACCATGAGGTAAGTATATTTGGGAAAAATAACAGTTGGTGGGACATAGGTGGAATCAAACATAGGTAAAGCATACATTTTAAAATAAGTGTATGTAATATTATCAGTCAGAGGGATTTCCATAATGAACGTTATTTGGTTTTCTTTTACATAGGCCTTAACAGACATAGATCTTTCTAAATTAACTAAATTGTTTTCAGTAATAGGATACAATAAACTATTTGTTTGAGATATAGATTCTAATATAACCAATAATTCAGTGGAATTAACAATGGCTTGATGTAGAACGTGAAGTTTAGTAAAAGCTAATGCTGTTTCAATTTCGCTTAAAATTAAGTATATAGTTCTAAAATTATTGACAAACATGTTAAACATACTTAAAACATATGCGGAGTATATGCTGTTATCGTCTTTAGCAATTATATATTTTACAATTCTTTCTATACGTTTCGTTCGTTCATTTATAATATTCATATTTTCCTGTAGAGATCCAGTACTATTTATAAGAGAGTCAAGCATCTCCGAGATTATTGTTATTTTCTTATTAGTGTGCGTTTGCTGGGTCTTTAATTGAGATATGAGATTGTCGTATTCTACTGCATCATTGTGGTCTAAGTTTCCTGTAAGCGCTTTGGTAACAGAACCTAATGGATTAATAAGACCGCGCTTGAAACGTATCGCAGGTATGAGTTGTTTAAACTTTTCTACAGCTAAGTTACTTAAATAATTTACTTGTGTGTTCATATTTTGGAACTCATTTACGTATGGCTTATGGATATCTATTAAACTGCTAAATTCTTTATATTTATTGATATTAAAATTTAAATCATCTTTTATGCTACTAAAGTCTTACTGCTTAACTAAAACCCACTTATCTACTTCCTTGTATGCGTGTCCTTGCTTTACGGGTAACATGCCAGGATTATGCTCAACCTTTAGAAGTTGAAGGCCCTGGGTCTGGATCATCAGATTCAGGTTCACGAAGATCGCCAACAACCTGTGGAGGGCGTTTCACATTTTTGAGGTGCACTTTAGTTTTTCTTTTCCCTATCGTTACAGGTATTATGTTTCTTTCAATATCCCCTTGCACTTTCGCCTTTTGATACCTAGGCTTATTCTTACTTTTTCTTATGTTAATATCTTTAATAAAAACCGTATCGCCTTCTTTAAAATCAATTCCAGTTTCCCCACTTTTCTTTTTCCTAACCTTCTCTTTATCTCTATGGACTTTTTCGGAAATATACCTATACAAGTACTTGGTTCGCCTCGCGTGGTCTTTAATGAATTGCTGTGTATGCCTTTTCAAAATCTACGTCGAATATTTTACCAGAATCGGTATGACCAAATGCTACTTCAAAGGGTGTTAATCCTGTCGTTGAATGAATAGTATGATTATATGCCATGACTGAATATGTCATGACAGATGCAGCGTCTGTGCATTTTTGCTCATAATTTGCAAGTCTGTATATTTCAATTATAGTAGAATGAAATCTTTCGATAATGCCTGTCGAATTGGGGTTATTGGGAGTTGTGATATGAGTTTCTATTTTATACATAGATAGGATCTGACGCATAAGTTCGTTATTAAATTCAGTGCCTGGATCAGATGATATTTTCTTAGGAATTCCGTACATTGAAAAATATTTAATTAATGCTCGTGCTACTTCAGCGGTTTGTCGACTTGCAACCTCTAAGGCCTGCCCTAATTTGCTAAAAGCATCCACAACGGTTAAATAATACTTCTTCTCAATGGTAAATAAATCTATAAATATTTCCTGAAAAGGCGCATCCTGAGTTGATGTGAGTTGGAGTACAGGTTTTATTGGTTTCCTATAGTACTTCATTAATCTGCAAGGTTCACAAGCATTTATAACGGCAGCTACAGTGTCTTGCATATTTTCCCAATAATGGTTTCTGCGTATTCTTACCATAGTTTCTTTCACACCACGATGACATGTTTTTCCTTCATGGTGTTTGAGAATAACAGCTTTTTGTTCTTTTTCGTCCCCCACATATACTACGCGTTCTGTACATTCAAAGAATTGTACTGCATCCTTCTTAAAGAGTTCTATAATAACTTTTGTAAATAATTTCCTGTGCTCAGCGTTCTCGAAATAAATAAAGTATCGACTCTTAAACTTTATATTTTCCTTTAAAAATTGTTTTATTAATTCTTCGTTTTCTAGTGGGAGAAATACCTCTAGTACTTTTTGTTTTGCTCTAGATAAATTTCTGACTTGTAGTTTATTTTGGAACCAAGAAATACTAGGATCTGATCTGGTTTGGTATCTATTGCCTCGCTCAAAATTGGGATTGCTGTTGACTCAGGTTCAATATTTGAGTGTATCGTGTCTGTTCTACTACTCTTAGTTACAGATGGTACAGGGTAATTTTCTTCGAACAATTCTACATGTTCCGTCACACTCGAGTCTGAGTCTGAAATTATCACTGTCTCTGGTTGGGGCTCAGGTCTGTATTTTTCAAGTTCTTTCAGTTGGCGTATTACTTTTTGTATGTCATCGTCATCCACATTAACATCCATTGATGCGTCGTCTAAAGCATTAAGTTTTATGCGAGACAAGGCATCTTCACTCATATGGTTTAGGCGTAACTTGTTTAAATTTTCAAGCAATAACTGGTCCGTTTCTAGATCAGAGTGATCTATAAAATTTACATACGATTTATATTTCAGGTGATTTTCGGAGGCTTTTATTTGAAAATTTTCAGTTTGTGCAGACACGTCATTATCCTCTGAATCATTGTTTTCGTCGACCTCTATTATAAAATTTTCTTGTATGGATTCATCTTCATAATAATGGTCGTATGTTTCCTCATACATGTAATTTTCAGGAAAATCGTAGGGATAGTATGATGGATAGATTTCTAATTCATTTAGACGGAAACCTGGCTTTGGAGGGGCAGATCTCATAGAAACATCGGTATCATTAGAAACCGGCTTATTATGCACATTATTATTACTAGGATAATTAAAACGCTGAGAATTACCAAACTGTTGTAGTAACATTGGTTGCATGGGGTTATAGCCCTGGGGTCTAAATCCAAAGTTTGGTCGGTATCCAAAATTAGGTCGGTATCCAAACTGAGGTGGGTGATATTGCTTAGGGAAACTCATTTGCAGTTGAGGCTTATTTTGTCAAAAAAATTTTGCGTCAAGAAATTCTCAGTACCTGTCTGGAGTCAGGAAGTTGGCGGTGACTGCCTCGGAAAGCACGTAAAACCGTTGGTCCTGCACCTGATCTCTCTCCGCTCGTATCGGTTTACCGTCCCATTGGATTATGAAAGTGAGGTAATAGAGAGTGCACCTGTGCTTGCGCATACACTTGGGCACTATAGTCCTGTCCTGCGCCGACAGCTAGTTTCCGTTGAGGCTGGCCGAAATTCGGTCTGGAGGACATTATAAATTTCCATGAAATCGTATGAAATTTATATGAAATGAAATGAAATGAATAGAATTTTTTTGATTCAGAAATATTTTACAAATACGTTTTTATGTTTTCTAAATCAGATTGACAATCAAAACATGTTTCAGATTAGCGTGTCGTTTACTAAAAAAAATCACCGCTTTAGTAATATAATCAGTGCTTGGAATAGGTTATGTTTACTTATTGTTAAAAACAAAGAAGTTTTAATTATTTCCTTTTGCTTGTTTTAATGTAAATATTTTGTTGATTTAATTGTCGCCTGCCAAGCGAGGCATCTAAAACCAAGTATATACGATAATATCTCCCCTATGATACAATCGATGGAGAGACCTATGTTCGGCAATGGACTTTATTAGGCTGTGATGATAATGATGATCATGATGGCAATACAGATGGCGATGATGATGATGATTATGTAGGTATCTATAGGTTGCGTCATTTACTTAACTTTTGGTATACTATGTGCTTGACTGGTTAGTCAGTCTCATTTTAGTAGAAAAAGATAATGTTATTGATTTCTAAGCTAAAACTTTTTACCGCTCAAGAATTGGCCACGTTAAAGTGTCATGCTACGAAATAGCAGAACCATTTTCTAATTCAAGCTGCAAATTCATACGATTGGTCAATCGACGGAAATTAAAGTGCACGTTAGCCTCGGTTTGTTTCTAGGATTAAAAAGTTGTACCTACATAAATCTGTCTTGGCGTCGTAGTGAGTTGATTATTCCACCCACTACGATAGAGTAGTATAGAAGTTTATTCCAAATTTTCTCCCTACAAAGGAGACCTATACCCAGTATTGGAGTAGACATATAGTACTAGGCAAAATAGAATATAATAAATTTTATTCGATTATCTGTATTGACAAGAACACTTCTTGAAAGTCCTTTACGTTTTAGCCCTGTCCCAAAAAAAAAACTCCGTCCTGAAAAGAACAAGCACGAAACCCGAAGAACTTTTTTAAAACTTTAATTTATAATATAGTATGTTGTACAACTGAGTATGAAAAGATGTAGAAACAACATGTTTGTGATAACTTTATTTCTAGGGGTAATTATCAATCACCTACTCTTCAAGCCTATCTTGAAATATCTTCAAAACACCATTTGACCTCTTCCGTAATTTGCATAACATTGACTCATTATTTGCTGCTTTATGATGCCATAAAAATCATGAAAACCTGCTTCAGCAAACATGCTTGAAGCACTACAGTGTCTAGAAAGGCCTATTAGCATCCTGATGGCATTATTATAGGTATTGAATTTGAAGCATATTGTGGGTCCTCGCGTATCGTCACATCATACGCTATAGGTGTAAAATGTTTGACAGTAGGACTTGAAGAGGTTAAGTTTTACGTCATCTGTACACTAGTGTGGAGCGAAAAAATTTTTTTTCACCTTATCATAAACTCTCGTGCAAAACATTATTTGGATTGATTCTGAGTAACTCCGTAAGGTTATTGAAATTTTATAAAAAGATGATTTTCGACTCAGGATTGACGCTATGTAAATATGCTATTATTAAATAAATTGTAATAATTTGTTTTATTTTTTAATTTAAAATATAGTATATATTCATTTTAAATCGAGAGCGCCCTCTCTACAATCTCAGAAGCCCAAACCCACCTCTCAGGCATTATAATGTTGGATGTAGAAAAAAAGTGATATTAGAACTAAATGGCCTAAAAATTTGTTTTTATAATGAATAATGAAATGACAAACGAATTCGAGACGTGGTCCTTCACTGCTGGCCGTATGAGGACGCTTAAGGTCGCTCAGCGAGCTATGGAGAGGGCTATGCTCGGAGTTTCTCTGCGTGATAGACTCAGAAATGAGGATATCCGCAGTAAAACCAGAGTGACCGACATAGCCCAACGGATTAGTAAGCTGAAGTGGCAATGGGCCGGCCATATAGCTCGAAGAACCGATAACCGATGGGGAAGAAAGGTTCTCGAGTGGCAGCCTCGTACCGGTAGGCGTAGTGTAGGGCGACCCCCCACTAGATGGAGTGACGACCTGGTAAGACATGCAGGAAGTCGATGGATGCAGGTGGCTCAGGACCGTGCTTTGTGGCATTACTTGGGGGAGGCCTATGTTCAGCAGTGGACTTGTGAAGGGCTGTAATGATGATGATGATGAAACGAATTGACTCTCCACCTGGTAAGTGGCTACAATTTTGAACAAAAAAGGCTACACGCGTTGTCACCTTCGGGAACAAAGATGGAATGCCTCACAGCCTATATTTTTTATAAAGAATATGGTTGATAAACGAGTACACAGTCCGCATTATAGTAAGTGAATGCTGTGTGTCCAAAAACATCTATATCTTCTCACAATTAATAATAATCAAAATGTAGATGCGTTGTCACCCATGAGGACTGCTCATGCATTTTAATGATTAAGGTGGCATGCATTTTTACCTTTTCAATAATAAGAGTTTCTACTTCTCTACACTCACCATACGAAACCCAGCAACATCAAGCTGTTTTTTAACGATAGTATTCTGTAAAAGCGTAGTACTTCCCCGGCCAAACCGTACCGTACCTTATTCAAGCTACAACTATAATATAGTCGTAGCAGGCCATGAAAAAAATTATACTAATTTGAAATGATATGCACTCATGATAATTATTCTTCTAAGTTTGTTGTGAAATACATTGAACTTGTGATTTCTTATATACACGAAAACTACACAATGAATAAAACTTAATGGGATTTAATTTATTTTAAAATCCTTTCGACTCAAGATCGTTTCACTACCTATAACACAATAATAATAAAACTTACAGCATATTGGCATACCATATTTGGACACTGCTTATGCTCTTTGTAATTGGGTAAATCTGCTGCGCTGCCTCATTGTGAAATGACGGACGCCATCTTGGTCGATACGAGTAGAGATTGGTCTAAGGCCTTTCTTCCAACTCAGCCACTCACTTGTTTTGCATTTGATTTGTCACTCTTTCCTTCTCCATTCTTTCTAAAATATAGAATCTTTTACGGAATAAAGTTATTTTTGTGAAATCTTTCGCGTTTTATTTTAGCCTATGACAAAATAATAATAAAACTTACAGCGTATTGGCATACCACACTTGGACACAGCTTATGCTCTTTGTAATTGGGTAAATCTGCTGCGCTGCCTCATTGTGAAATGACGGATGCTATCTTGGTCGATACGAGTAGAGTTTGGTCTAAGGCCTTTCTTCCAACTCAGCCACTCACTTGTTTTGCATTTGATTTGTCACTCCTTCCTCCTTCATTCTTTCTAAAATATAGAATCTTGTACGGAATAAAGTTATTTTTGTGGAATCTTTCGTGTTTTATTTTAGTTACTTTCATATAGGTTTAAGTGTTAGACGTCTTAATAACATGGCTCATCTCGGCTAAGTTCACCGCTCAATTAATAATTGTGGTGGGTATCATCTACGCCAAATGAATTGACTATGTTGATTGAGTAAAATCGGAGACTCTTTTTAATTAACGATGCATTTTGTTTGTCCTCAGTTAGTTTTGCACCTCCGTTGTGGTTCCTATAAATGGTTATATACATATAGGTCATATTGTAATAAAATTAAAATTCGATATAGATCAAATATTCTGTATATAATCTTTATAACTTTTGAGGTCATTTACTAAAAACCACTATGTTATAAAATTTATTGTAACAACGTGTCGGCGGATAGCACCCAAGGGGAGCTTTAGTGAAATTTATGGCAATGAAGCTTAGCTGCAGCTTTATTGAATGAGGTATTTATGTACGCAAAAGGTTTTGAATTGAATATCTGATTGAAAAACGACAGTGTTACCTTATCAATACGTGGTAGAGCCACACTGCAGCTACACGTCTGCATTTGATTCTTAATCCGGATTAAATGTAGATGTCTATGAGTCACAAAATCCACCTACTATCAGATGGACAGTGTGCTCGTTTGTCACCCTTATTCTATTAAAAAAATCTTTGGCCCAAATCACAGTTCATATAAAATAAACATACATAAACACTCACGCCTGTCACCCACAGGGGTAGGCAGAGACTACAGACTTCCATTTAGCACGATCTTGACATACCTTTCTACCCTTTAAAACATCCTTATACCTACGCATACATGCTTCATATAAAATATGCTCATATAAAATAGTCGATCGTATATGTAA